CTCAGGTGATCCACCTGCCTCAGCCTCCCAAAGTGCTGCATAACAGGCATGAGCCACGGTGCTCGGTGATCTCGGCTCACAGTCAACTTCTTGGGCTCAAGGAATCCTCGTACCTCAGCTTCCTTCGTAGCTGAGACCACAGGTGCACACCATCACACCTGGCTACGTTTTGTATTTTTTTTCTAGAGATGGGATTTCGCCAGGTTGCCCAGGCTGGCCTCAAACTCCTGGGCTCACACCTCAGCCGCCCAAAGTGCTGAATTACCACGCCCGGCCTAGTTTTCTTTAATCTGGAAGGGTTCCCCAGCCTTTCTTGACTTTTCACGACACTGATGTTTAGGGAGAGTACAGGTCAGCTATTTTATAGACTGCCTGTCCCTCCGTGTGCGTTTGTGGGATCGTTCTTCATGATTAGCTCCAGGTTTTGCATTATTATAATTGTTGTCGTCGTTGAGATGAGAATACTAATAGTAGCTAGCTGACAGGATCGTTGTCAGGACTGACTCCATGTGTGAAAAGCACAGAATAATGCTGGTCTGTAGCAAGTGCCCCACACAGGAAGACTGTTTTACTTTGGTTAATATGGAGGGTGTGGCTGGCTCAGAGGCTCATGCCTATAATCCCAGCACTTTGAGAGGCTGAGACAAGCAGATCACTTGAGGCCAGGAGTTTGAGACCAGCCTGGGTAACGTAATAAGACCCTGTTTCTATAAAAAAATTTTTAAAAAGCGGAGTATAGTGGCATGTGCCTGTAGCCCTAGTTACTCAGGAGGCTAGGCTGGAGGCTTGCTTGAGCCCAGGGTATAGTGAACTATGAGCACACCGCTGCACTTCAGCCTGGGCGACAGAGCGAGAACCAGCCTCTAAAATAAAAAAGGCCGGGTGTGGTGGCTCAAGCCTGTAATCCCAGCACTTTGTGAGGCCAAGATGGGCAGATCACCTGAAGTCATCAGTTTAAGACCACATGGAAAAACCCCGTCTCTACTAAAAATACAAAAAAAATTACAAAAAAAAAAAATAGCTGGGTGTGGTGGTGGGCACCTATAATCCCAGCTACTCGGGAGGTTGAGGCAGGAGAATCCGGGAGGCGGAGGTTGAGGTCAGCCAAGATCGTACCATTGCACCCCAGCTTGGGTGACAGAGCAAAACTTATTAAAAGTTATTTAATAAGCAACACTTATTAAAAAATAAAATAAATTTAAAAATGGAGGGTGGGCAGGCCTATAAACAAGGTTAGAGAAGTTGGGAAGGAGAATCACTACCCTTGTAGCCCCTAAGGAAGGCGGACATGAGACCAGGAGACAGCCTGAGCATTGCATAGGGTAGACACAGGGCTGCTGAGGTCCCTTCTGCAGGGGTGCCCAGGGCTGAGAGTTATGGAGCATTCAAGGGCCCTAACACTCGCTCTCCATGCTGATGCAACCAGGACCCGCCTCTCTGACTGGGTGCATTGCCTGAGTCTTTTGTCCCTCTGCAAACCAGGTACTTCAGAGGCTCATCAAGTCCCGAGGGAAGTCTCAGTCCAAACACCTCAACGTCCAAATAGCGGCCTCGGAAAAGCTGGCACAGTGCCCCCCTGTGAGTGCCAAGATCCTGGGGAAGGGAAGGGAGGGAGCGAGGGAGGGCACTTGGGTCGTCCTGGTTTCCTCTGGCCTGCACGAGAGACAGAGTGACCAGGAACACCTGGGTCAGGCCCGTAGGTGCAGACTGGTCTTCCGGGAGGAGCGCAGGTCTGTCAGTCGAGGACTGGGTTCAAGCCCCAGAAGCACCCTTTCTGTGGAGAGTCAAGCCCTCTCTCCAGCCTTGGTTGCCTTATCTTTAGAATGAGGGAGTTGGACAGAGTGCCAAAACGGCTTGCAGTTCTGCTAATCTGTACATCTGAGAGCCCTCCTTCCCTTCTTCCACATCCAGAGGCCTCTTTTTAACCTTGTCCTTCAATCCCTTGACTCTACCCACTGCACCCAGGCCACACCCTCAACCCCCTTGGCCACGCCCCACTCATCCCAGCCCCGTCCCCTAACCCCGCCTCCACAGGAAATGTTTGACATCATCCTGGACGAGAACCAGTTGGAGGATGCCTGCGAGCACCTGGCAGAGTACTTGGAAGCCTATTGGAAGGCCACACACCCGCCCAGCAGCACGCCACCCAACCCGCTGCTGAACCGCACCATGGCTACCGCAGCCCTGGCTGCCAGCCCTGCCCCTGTCTCCAACCTCCAGGTACAGGTGCTCACCTCGCTCAGGAGAAACCTCAGCTTCTGGGGCGGGCTGGAGTCCTCGCAGCGGGGCAGCGCGGTGCCCCAGGAGCAGGAACACGCCATGTAGTGGGTGCCCTGCCCGTCTTCCCTCCCGCTCAGGGGTCAGAACTGGAGTACAGGGAACATGGAGGAGGAAGGGAAGAGCTTTATTTTGTAAAAAATGTGATGAGTGGCAGCTTCTGGTGTCTGTGGTTTTTGATGGGTCTGGGGCTTCTGGTGCTGGCTTCCTGGGCCTGGTGCCATAGGACCGCATCTGCTGCCTGCTGGATCTCAGGCCTGATGGGGGCCCTTTTAAGGCAAGGGGCTAGGAAGGACGTGCGAGGTAGACTGGTACACTCATTCGCTGGACTCCACACCCTGTTTAGACCCAACAGAGCAGGGGCCCTCAGAGCTAGGAGGGCTGACTCTCCCTATTAAACCTGGACTCTCCCTCCCTGGAACCCTGACTCCTCAAGGCCCCTCAAGAGGGACCCAGAATGTGGGATCTTCTATAACTTGATGCGGAACCTTCCACCATTCTCCCAGTTAAAGAGTCCAGGAAAGGCCCTCCCATGGGAGCCCAGCCTGCCTCGCCCTCCTCCGGAGCAAGCCACAGCCTGTCTCTTGATCCCACACCATTAAGTATAAGGTTCTAGGTGAGAGTCAGAAGAAACCCATGAAATCATTCTAGACTGTAGCTTTCAAATTCGTTTTCAGCAACACAGCCCATTTGTTCAATGAATCTTATGTGGAAGCTGAGGATGTAGATAATGCATCCTTGCTCTGCCCTATGAGGAAGCCAGGAGAATGGCCTCCCCTCCACCTCCATGGGGACCCCTGAAGCACTTCTGTGCCCTCCCCACCCCACCCCAGATCTCCAGGCAACAGTTTGGAAACTGCTGCTCAGGTCTAAGCCCCATCAAACTACAACCAAGAAATGAGGCCACAGAGAGGGGAACCGTTTGCTCAGGATCACACAGCTTGAAGTGGCGGGGGAGGGACTGGAACCTCTCTTGTGCCCCACTGCCACAAGACATTTGGTGATGAGGACACTGGGCCACCTCTTCATCTTCAGTAGGAGGGGGAGACCCAGCGGCCTTCCCCAGCTTGCTGCTTTGAGTCCTTGTTGGGGCCAGGGGAGGAATCCCATCAGCCTTGGAGACGGTGTCATCTGCCTAGGGAATGGTGGGAGAAGCATGGGGTTCTGGAAGCCTGAGATTGGGGTCTCGTGATTTGAAGCTAGGGTCAGCAGGTTTGAGCTGAAATCTCCTGTTAATATATTTGGAAAACTGAAGGCAATGACTAACCCAATCAGCCACTAATGAGTGGCAGTACTTAGCTGTTAATGATGATTAACCCCAAGTAGCATTAATGACACGCACCGAGGAAGTGGTGACTCATGGCTCACTCATGGCTGTCGGCCATGGTTGCCCTGAGAGTTCCTGTGTCCTCACATCTGTTGAAGGTCAGGTGTCCCCTGTCCGGAGAGAGGAATGAATGGCCTGAGGTCTGTCCTCTGGCTGGGCTCCAGAGCCATTTGTCCCCGGGGCCCCTCCCCTAGAGCCAGCACCCTCCTTCACCCAGGCCAGCCGTCTTCGTGCTGTCACTAACCTGCCTTGCTTTGTTGTGTTCTTCTCACCCCTGCCTGATCTGCATGGTGTGTGATGTCCGTCTGCTAACCAGGGACCCTACCTTGCTTCCGGGGACCAGCCGCTGGAACGGGCCACCGGGGAGCACGGCAGCGTGCACGAGTACCCAGGGGAGCTGGGCCAGCCCCCAGGCCTTTACCCCAGCAGCCACCCACCAGGCCGGGCGGGCACGCTGCGGGCACTGTCCCGCCAAGACACTTTTGATGCCGACACCCCCGGCAGCCGAAACTCTGCCTACACGGAGCTGGGAGACTCATGTGTGGACATGGAGACTGACCCCTCAGAGGGGCCAGGGCTCGGAGACCCTGCAGGAGGCGGCACCCCCCCAGCCCGACAGGGATCCTGGGAGGACGAGGAAGAAGACTATGAGGAAGAGCTGACCGACAACCGGAACCGGGGCCGGAATAAGGCCCGCTACTGCGCTGAGGGTGGGGGTCCAGTGTTGGGGCGCAACAAGAATGAGCTGGAGGGCTGGGGACGAGGCGTCTACATCCGCTGAGGGGCAGGGGCCACGCGGCGGGAGGAAGGGCCCTGAGCCCGGGGGAGGGGAGGGAGCGAGGGGCTCACACTCGACATGTATCCGCCTCCAGGGGGCGCTGTCGCCCTCCTTTCAGATGCCTTGCTCAAAGCTTGGGGTTTCTCCGGTGTTATCTATCATCCCAGCTCCCGGGTGGCCCTTAAGCCCCAGCTGTCGGTTTTTACCTGCCTGTTGCGAATGGATGGGGGATACCCACCTTTCTGAAGTGTCCCCTTTCTCCCATCTTAAGGGGCTCTCCTCCCTCACCCTCCTAAAGAAAAGGTGCACTTCCTGAACTCTTTCTCCTCGGGGCCCTCAGTGACGGTCCTAAGCGGGATGACCCTTCTCCCAGGCTGCAGTATGGGGGAAGGGCTGGGCGCTTTTCCTGGAGAGGGAGGCCACAGATTCTTTCCCAGGGGGCTCTCTTCCCCAGACCCCAGATCCAGGGTCCCTCCCTGCCTGCCCCATCCTCCCAGCTTCCTGGCAGCATCGTCTGGTCAGTGAAAGCTACAGCATGGGCACCCCATGGGGAGCTTGTCTCGGGGAGGGTTCTGGGTGGAAGCTGGCAGGCATCAGACACAGCACCCTCTAACCTCCATGGCCATGGCAACGTCCAGGGCCCAGAACCCTGAAGAGTGGGTAGCCTGAGACGCTGCTCCCCACCCCCACCTCCATGCCTCAGCCTTCGCCTACCCCAGGAATGAGCTTGGCCTCCAACACCCCTTGCCTGCTGCCATTAGAAGAGGGGCCCCTCTGCATCTGAGCCCCACCCCTGTGCCACCTGGGTGTGGAGCCCATGGAACACTCTGGTCCGCCTCATTTTAAACCAAAAAATTGCTCCTTCACCCTCATCCTGAGGCCCCAGGGGAGAGGACCCGTGGGTTGGTGCCCAAGAGGTGACCACCACCCCAGGGGTTGCCTTGGGACCTTGGATCTCCTCTGGGGGGCTTGGCTGCTGCTGTTGCTGCTCTGTATTTGCCTCTCGTGATTCTGTTACCCATGTCCACTTCCCCCAGGAGAGGCCTTGGTACCCCCTCTCCCCTGGGGCATCCCTCTGCCTCGGCATCCCTATAGCCCAGCAGCCCTGCCCCTCCCCAGCATCCCAGCTGGGCCAGAGAGAGCCGACTGTGCCAACAAGGACTGGGCCCTGCCCGGCTGCCCGCCTCAGGGATGGGCACCTCATGCCTGTCTCGCCACCTCCTGTGCCAATGTCCCACCCTCCCCCGGGGGGTGGGGTGCAGCTTCCACTTACTGATTAGATGACACCACTGCCCACCCTCTCCCCCTCCCTGTCTGGTGTCCTGTGCCCCCATCTGTCTGTCTATATTTGTCTGTACTCCCCTAGGAGAAGTATTTTGCCATATATAAAACCACTGTCCTGTCCTTTGTGACTGCCTCCCAAGCCTGCTTCTTTGTCCTTGCCACATAGTCGTCAGCCTAGGCACCTGGGAGCTGCCGACATGTGGGGGGAATTGAAGGGGTGGGTGCAGGAAGAAGCTGTGCCCTGAGTCGTTGACTCAAAAGGAGAGATGATCCTTTGACTTTGGCCCTCTGACGGATTATGCCCAAGCCAGGAGCTGCTTGGGCAGTCCCCGCTCTGCACTGGCCCTGAGCCCCTCACCTGTCTCTCCACAAGCAGAGCCAGAGGCAGTGTGAAGCTCGGTGTTGCTCAGTGGGTGAGATCTAGACCCACTGGTGCAATGTCTTAAATGTACATGCTTGTTTTTCTGCTCTTGTTGCCTCGCTGCACCCCAACACCTCGGGACAGGGAGGGGCTGAGCTTCTGGCTCCACTAATGTCCCCCTTGTCCCTGCTAACCAGCTTTGGAGGCAGAGAGGCAGACTACTTGTGGCAGCAGGTCAGAAAATCAGGGATTCTGCCAGTTCCAGACAAAGTCAGCAGGTGAGTGGACCCATCCCTGCTCTCCCCAGCTGGTAGGATGTGGACTTCTGACAGTTACTGCAGCCACCTGTGTCCTACCTCACACAGTACCCTTAAAGTATTTCCCCGCCCTCCTGGTTCTTGTTTCTTCTTCTTTTTTTTTTTTTTTTTTTTTTTGAGAGAGAGTTTTTCTCTTTTTTCCCAGGCTAGAGTACAATGGCACGATCTCAGCTCACTGCAACCTCCACATCCCGGGTTCCATTGAATCTCTTGCCTCAGCCATCTAAGTAGCTGGGATTACAGGCGTGCGTCACCATGCCCAGCAAAATTGTGTGTTTTTAGTAGAGACGGGGTTTAACCATGTTGGCCAGGCTGGGCTTCAGCTCTTGACCTCAGGTGATCTGCCGGACTTGGCCTCCCAAAGTGCTGGGATTACAGGCGTGAGCCACCACGCCCGCCCTGGTTCTTGTTTTTGCACTGATAGCCCTGGAGGACTAGAGTTCCTGAGTCCACCACCTGAGTTCTGAGGCCCAACATGTGTGAGTGTGTGTGTGTGTGTGTGTGTGTGTGTGTGTGTGTGTGGAGGGCAACAGACATCCCCAAGACCCTACAGATGAGGAGTTAGTGGATCAAAGAAGAATTGGGCAGGCCCAGAGGTCAAGTGGTTGACGCCAGTTCCCGGGGAGCCAATGGTAACGTTGATGAGCACCTAGTCTCTGCCTTCCAGCATAGTGTATTTCCCAATGTCTTCCTACACAGTCATTCATTCCTGTGTTTCTTCCTTGAACAAACATTTATTGAGCACCTCCTATGTACCAGGCACAAGTCTAAGTAGGGGCCATAGATGATTTCAGTACAGTATAATGTGCTGTCTGCTGTGGGAGCACTGGGTACTGTGGGAACCTGGAAGAGGGGCTAGTCCCATAACCTGGGGAGGTCAGCTGAGGCTTTCTGGCGGAGGGGAGGCTTAAGTAGAGTCAAGAAGCATGGTTAGCAGACAAGTGGGGGAAGTGTTCAAGGCAGAGAAAGCAGGACACATGCATGACATGTTCTTGGCACCTCACCAGCAAAGTGTGCACTCAAGGTGGTGGCCAGAGAACGGTTGGCAGGAGCAGGTCACAGTGGGCCTTGAGTCACTTTAAGGAGTTTGGGCTTTGTCCTGAAACTAGTGTGCAGAAATGGAAGGATTGTAAGCAACTAGCAAGACTGCGTTGTTAGCAGTTTGGCACATAGATTGGAAGGCCTAGCTTGGAAACAGCTGTGATAATCCAGGTGCGAAAGGAGGGTTTTCCTAGGCCACAGCAGTGGGACCAGAAGGGAGGTAAAGAGGCCAGAGACATCTAGCAGTCAGATGGCCGGGCGTGGTGGCTCAGGCCTGTCATCCCAGCACTTTAGGAGGCTGGGCTGGCAGGACTGCTTGAGCCCAGGAGTTTGAGACTCTTTTATGCAACACGGTGAGACCCACGTTTCTACAAAAACTTTAAAAATTAGGCTGGGCGTGGTGGCTTATGATTGTAATCCCAGCACTTTGGGAGGCCAAGGTGGGCAGATCACCTGAGGTCAGGAGATCGAGACCAGCCTGAACAACATGGAGAAACCCCATCTTAAAAAAAAAAAATTAGCTGGGTGTGTAGTCGCAGCTACTCAGGAGGCTGTGATAGGAAGGCTGAGGTGGGGAGGATCTCTTGAGCCCAGGAAGTCAAGGCTGCAGTGAGCTATGATCGCACCGCTGCATTCCAGCCTGGGTGACAAAGTGAGGCCCTGTCTCAATAAATTAAATAAATAAATATTAGAATCTTGAGCTCTTAGAGAGTAATTGTAGGTGGTAATAAGAGAAAGGGAGGTGGCTGGGCGTGGTGGCTCCCAGCACTTTGGGAGGCCGAGGCAGGTGGATCGCCTGAGGTCAGGAATTCAAGACCAGCCTGGCCAACATGTGGCAAAACCCTGTCTCTACTAAAAATACAAAAATTGGTCAGGCACAGTGGCACAGGCCTCCAGCCACTCTGGAGGCTGAGGCAGGAGAATCACTTAAACGCAGGAAGCAGAGTCTGTGGTGAGCTGAGACCATGTCACTGTACTCCAGCCTAGATGACGGAGCGAGACTCTGTCTCCAAAAAAAAAAAAGAGAAAGAGAGGTGACTGCTGATGGTGGTCTTCCGAGCAAAAGCAGATGAAAAAAATCAAAGAATTTAGGGGCAGAAGTGATCAGTCCATCTTTGGTCAAAGTGGGTTTGAGGTGCCTGTGGGACATTCGAGAAGAGAAGAGGAGGCTGGGCACAGTGGCTCATGCCTGTAATCCCAGAACTTTGGGAAGACCAGGTAGGCAGATCAGTTGAGGTTGGGAATTCAAGACCAGACTGGGCAACATGGTGAAACCTCATCTCTACTAAAAGTACAAAAATTACCTGGGTGTGGTGGTGGGTACATGTAACCCTAGCTACTCGAGACGCTGAGGCAGCAGGAGAATTGCTTGAAGCTGGGAGGCGGAAGTTGCAGTGAACTGAGAATGCGCCGCTGCACTCCAGCCTGAGTGACAGAGCGAGACTCTATCTCAAAAAAAAAAAAAAAAAAAAGAGAGAGAGAGAAAAGACAGCTGGGTACATGGTCTGGAGCTCCACAGAGAGGTCTGGAGTGGAGTCTGATGTTCTGAATCAAGGTCGGGCATTATTAACTCCAGTTTACAAAGTTCAGAGCGGTTAAACTATTTGACTGCAGTTACACAGCCATGGGGCAAGGATTTGAACTCAGATATATGGATGCCAAGTTCTGTGGTGCCTTTGACCCCCAAGTTCAATGCTAATTCCTTTACCCCAGGATGCATCAGCTTCTGCAAGGGTGGGGGTTGGGGATTGGGAAGGAGGAAGCGGGGGTCTGAATGCATTTCTGTCTGTGTCTCATGTGCCTTCTGCTTGAAATTGCATTTGCAAGCCAGGCATGGTGGCTCACACCTGTAATCCCAGTACTTTGGGAGGCCGAGGTGGGTGGATCACTTGAGGTCAGGAGTTTGAGACCAGCCTGGCAAACATGGGGAAACCCCGTCTCTACTAAAAGTACAAAAATTAGCCAGGTGTGGTGGCTGGCGCCTATAATCCCAGCTACTTGGGAGGCTGAGGCAGGAGAATAGCTTGAACCCGGGAGGTGGAGGTTGCAGTGAGCTGAGATCGCACCACTGAACTCCAGCCTGGGCAACAGAGCGAAACTCCAACTCATAAAAAAAGAAAGAAAAAAAGAAAGAAATTGCACTTTCTCAGAACTTGCAGGCAAGTCATTTCTAGCTGGCTTGGAGAGACTGCGAGATGGGGGCAGATTCTTGTTTCTTGGTAACCAGAAGCTCTCAACTAACTCTGGTGACACCATCAGCAAGTTAGTGTTTGTCAACGTGTGAGGATTTCAACAACCATGGTCAGCTGAGACCTGGCAGGAACCGAGGGACTGGGGACCCCTCCTACCTGGGACCTTCATTTCCTTCCCTGACTAGCTGCTCCTGTCTTTGCAGTGGATTCTGTTCCAGAATGAGCTGGTGTGGGAGAAGCCCAGGTCCCTGGTGTGGCCTAAAGTTTCCAGTGTTCTACAAAAAAGTCAACTAGGCTGAGGCCACCATGGTCCAGGGACAAGGGGGTGTCCCAATTCAGTATACTAGAAAAAAACTTTGTCTTAGCTCCAATAATCTCTTCTTCAGAGAAGGGTGCCTTGCTTCCCTACTAAATTAGGCCTTCTTACTCACTGTCTGTCAGAGGTTTTTTTTTGTGTGTGTATGTCTGTGTGCCTGTGTGTATCTGTCTCTCCTTCTAGAACATAAGTGCCACAGAAACCCAGACTGGGACTGGGAGCAGTGGCTCACGCCTGTAATCCCAGCACTTCAGGAGGCTGAGGCAGGAGGATTGTTTGAGTCCAGGAGTTTGAGACCAATGGCAAAACCCATCTCTACAAGAAAAAAAAAAAAAAAAAAAAAAAAAAAACCACCCACACACACACACACAAAACACAAAAATTACAAACCACACACACACACACAAAACACAAAAATCAGCTGGGAGTGGTGGCTTGCACCTCTAGTCCCAGCTACTTGGGAAGCTGAGGTGGGAGGATCGCTTGAGCCTGGAAGGTTGAGGCTGCAGTGAGCTGTGATCCTGCCCTGGACTCCAGCCCGGGCGACAGAGCGAGACTCTGTCTCAAAAACCAAACCAAAACAAAAATATAAAGACCTGGACTGGGTCTGTTTTGTCACTTCACGTGTTTCCTGGCTCGTATTTGTCAAATTGATGATTAAATGAATGAATGCTTCCTAAGATCCAGATCCTGGGCCTCAAAGCAAAGGCAGATCTTCCCTTCTGTTTTTCTATTTTCTTATTTTCTCTTTAAATAATTTTATTGTATTTTATTTTAATCAGGCAGCCTCCCGAGCCAGAGTATGCTCAGAGAAATCCGCTCTCCTTTTCTGTTTACTGAATGTATTTCCGGCTTGCAGAGTGTCACTTTCAATTCTGCAAAGAGGAGGTGGGGAGGGCAGCATGCGCTCAGAGGTTCCTCCCCCAACCCCCTATCCCTGGGAAACAGATGGTAAAATGCTTAAGACAAGGCTGCTTCCCTCAGCGCCCTCGGTGCCCCACCCCCCAGCCCCAGTCTTAGCTCCTTGTCTCCAAAGGCTGAAATGAAATCAGCCCAGACGGACTCTGGCCGTCAACTCTATCCATCCAACTCTGGGCACCAAGCTGGGTGGGATGCAAGTCTGTATTTAGTGAGCTATTTTCCTTCTTCCTCCTGCAAGCTTCCCAGCCTTCCTCAATCCTCTTACACTTGTGTTCACCTTCCTTTTTTAATACTCCAAGTGCCATTTCTCAGGCTGTAGTTTAACTCATTCTGTCTTAGTCTGACAGCAACACATTCCTCCTGTGTGCCGGACTCTGGACCATGCAGGGAGCGGCTGGCACATGCTGGTGAACAACATATCAACCCCGCCCTAGGATGCACAGTTGATGGGAGGAAACAGACTTGCCCGTCTATAATCCCAGTGTAGGGAGAAGCCCCATGTGGCTGGAGAGCCAAGCCAGGGCTGGGGAAGCAGGTGGCTTTTATGGAGGGGAGCTAAAAGGTCTCAGGCATTCTCCTTTCTGAGAAGGTGAAAGGCACTCAAGGAGGAAATGCAGCAGCAAAGGCACGGTCAGAAAGAGCTGGGCAGGTGGGGGCAGGAAGCAATAGATGCAGAGCCGGGGAGAAAAGCCTGCGAAGGCAAGTGGGGGCTGTTCATGGAGGGTCTTGAACGTCAGGTGGGGACTCATCTGAATCCACTGAGCAATAGGGAGCCATTGAAGGTTTATGAGCTGATGGAGTTACAGACTGTGAGCTGTGCTTTAGGAAGGTTAAGTAGGACCATGGGGGAGGATGCCCTGGGAAAGGAGAGGTAGAGGCAGGGAGACTAGTTAAAGAGTTGTTACTGGCCAGACGTGGTGGCTCATACCTGTAATCTCAGCCTTTTGAGAGGCCAAGGCGGGCGGATCATGAGGTCAGGAGTTCAAGACCAGCCTGGCTAACATGGTGAAACCCCGTCTCTACTAAAAATACAAAAATTAGCTGGGTGTGGTGGCACGTGCCTGTAGGCTCAGCTAATCAGGAGGCTGAGAGAGAATTACTTGAAGCTGGGAGGCAGGGGTTGCAGTGAGCTGAGAACGCACTACTGCACTCCAGCCTGGATGACAGAGTGAGACTTCATCATGCACACACACAAAAAATACAAAAATTAGCCTGGCATAGTGGTGGGCACCTGTAATCCCAGTTACTCAGGAGGTGGAGGCAGGAGAATTGCTTGAAACCGGGAGGAGGAGGTTGCAGCGAGCCGAGATCCACCACTGCACTCCAGCCTGGGTGACAGAGCAAGACTCCATCTCCAAAAAAATAAAAATAAAAAAGAGGTTGTTACCTTCATGGAGGGTTGTTACCTTAGTGGAGGTTGTAGGAGGGCAGTGCAGTGGGAGGGAAGGAGCTGGTGTCCCGGAGTATTGGCTGGATCTCCTGTTAACCACCCCCGCAGCCAGAGGGTGATTTGCCTTTTCAACTTCTCTTTTTGTTTTCTGTTTTTTCCCAGCTTAAGCAAAGAAAGAAATGTACAGAAACTCCCCCTTCGATTGCCTCCCTCCTCCTGGCCTCCTGGTTCTCTGTTGGCCCCTGTACTCCTCTGCCAGGTATCTGGGGCCACTCTGTAGGGTCTCCAGATGGAGGATCTCTCCTCATGCTCCCCACTTTTGGGGGTCAGGAAGCTGTGCCTGAGCAGTGAGTTTGTCAGTGAATTGCAGGAGCACTGATTTATCCTAGAAGTTGCCTAGCACCAAGGGGAGACCCTGCCCTTCCCCAAGGGAACACACTTTGAGAAAGCCCACAAGATCCACGCTAGTGAACCGACTGAAGATCTGTGGAGGGTTGGAATATTCTCTCAGCTCAGAGACGATTGGTGAGCCCCGTCTGTCTTATACAGCTGGTAGGTACAGAAAGTGGGTCACCTGGGGTTTTGCTTCAGTCTAGTGCCCTAGACATGGCACTCAGAGGAGGGAGAGCTGGGATCCGGTTCCGGGCGCAGTGCTGAGTCTCCCCTATTTGCGGTGGTGGAGCAGTTCAGCCGGAGAACCCTGGAGTTTTCGAAGGGCGTGGGGAGAGCTGGAGGCTGGAACCACCCCCCCCACCCCTTATTCCTTGGACCTCTCGGGCCCTGGACAGGTAGCTCGTAGTCACTGGGATGTCTATAGCGCCCGTGAAGGGCCAGCGTCCCAGAGGGTTCCCAGGTCTGGTTGGTGACGCATGCGGCTCCCGCAGCTTCATAGACGAAGCATGCCAGACCCTCCCCGGGGGGGCCGGGGCGGGTGCGGAGCTCCGAGCACCAGGCCGACCCCGCTCCAGAGGCCGCTGAGTCCTCCTGCACCTGCCTGGCCCAGGAAGCGCCATGAGACAGCTGATAGCCAAGTTAATGAGCATCTTCGGGAACCAGAGTAAGGGATGCACAGAACATGCAAGCGAACGCTTTGATCTCGCTCTCTTCTGGGACGCCTCTGGTCTGGGGTCGGACGCACTGGGGGACCTCGGGCTCCAAGGGTCGTGTGTGGGAGCTCCTTGCCTGCCCGGCGGTCTCCCCTGCCCCTGTCCCCACCTGCTCCTCTTGGGTCCCCGGGCTTCGGTGCGCCCCAGGACGCAGGGCTAGGCGAGCCTCCTTCCTTCCAGCTAAACGGCACCAGCGGCGGGGATGGGGAGCCGCTGCGGGTTTCCTGAGATTGTGACTTCACGTTCGGCTCTTTCTCAGACACTGTCTCTTGGCAAGCCCTGGACCCTTCAGACACTTTTCTAGAATGTGAAGGGAGGTGGGGGCTCAGCTGTTTTTTCTACGGTCCCGGAGTGGCGCAGGCGTCCGGGCTGGGTGGGAAGTAGACGCGGTACGGTGGCCGGAGGTCCCCAGCCTGCTGGGGGCGCGCTCTCCTTCCTGGGAGGTCGGGTGGGGGCACACAGTCCCTTGGTCATCGGGTTTGGCCCTGACGCTGCCCTTCCTCCGATGCCTCCAGAACACAAGGTTATCATCGTGGGACTGGACAATGCAGGAAAGACCACCATTCTCTACCAGTTGTAAGGGACTCTCGGGCGGCGAGGGTAGAGGGCTGGGCCTCCCACCAGACTGACAGGCATGGGGACCAATCACTGGAGCTCTTCTCAGGGCTCCTGGGCTCCTCTGCAATCCGGTGGAGTGACTGGGAACGCTGCTTGGATCTTCCTAACACAGCGGCTCCTCTGTCTTACAAATCCTGCACCGCACGGGCAACTGTAGCTCCGACTGCTTTCCTCCATCTACTCGGGAACGCTGCAAAACTCAGCTCCAGGCCTGCCAAGTGTCCCAACCTGCCTCTCTGCGCTTCGCTCCCTCTAGCGTCAGACCCGGACCCCCTCTGCCTGTTAACTTTCTTCCCCTTCTTCAAACCCAAAGGCTCATGAGGCCTGGTAGCTCCGGGTCTAGCAAGCCTGGCACAGGCGGGTGGTGCTGAGTAAATGCCGATCGAAGCTTTCCCCGGTATTCGCTCTCTGGACGGTGGTACCGCTCCCATTTTAGAGCCTCCCAAGTACTTTACTTAGGACAAGCTTTTTCATGAAAAAGTAATACAGGCAAATGATTTCAAAAATACATAAAGGAAAATTTCAAACAATGGAGGAGGAATACACAGTGAAAAGTAAGTTTCCTTCTGCACTGTAGCCCCTAGTTTTCCTCCTATTGTAAGTTTGCGGTAACTTTTCAGATGCATTATTTGCATATAAAAGCATGTGTATGTTTTCTATGTCACTTTAAACAAAGCATCTCTCTGATGTCCCTCACTGTGTCTGTTTCATTTTTCTAAACTCTTGCATTTCAAAGTGTGGTCTGGGGCCGGGCGCGGTGGCTCAAGCCTGTAATCCCAGCACTTTGGGAGGCTGAGGCGGGCGGATCACCTGAGGTCAAGAGTTCGAGACCAGTCTGGCCAATATGGTGAAACCTCATCTCTACTAAACACACACACACACACACACACACACACACACACACACACACACACACGGCCTGGTGCAGTGACTCATGTCTGTAATCCCAGCTAATCAGGAGGCTGAGGAAGGAGAATTGCTTGAACCCGGGAGGTGGAGGTTGCAGTGAGCAGAGATTGTACCACTGCATTTCAGCCTACGTGACAGGAGTGAGACTCCATCTTAAAAAATAAGTAAATAAAAATAATTAGCTGGGCATGGTGGCAGGGGCCTGTAGTCCCAGCTACTCGTGGAGAGGCTGAGGGAGAAGAATCACTTGAACCCAGGAGGCGGAGGTTGCAGTGAGCCGAGATGGCACCACTGCACTCCAGCCTGGGTGACAGAGGGAGACTCCATCTTAAAATGCAAAACCGGCCAGGCATGGTGACTTATGCCTGTAATCTCAGTACTTTGGGAGACTAAGACAGGAGGATCGCTAGAGGTCAGGAGTTCGAGACTAGCGCATGAAATGGGGTTTCCAACATGGCAAAACCCCATTTCTACAAAAATTAGCCATGTGTCGGGGGCATGCGCCTGTAATCCCAACCACTTGAGACACTGAGGCAGGAGAATTGCTTGAACCTGGGAGGTGTGACGGTGCCTGTACTCCAGCCTGGGCAACAGAGTGAGACTGTCTCAAAGAAAAGAAATGCAAAACCCTAGGCCCCAGCCCAGACTCTCTGGTCAGACCCTGCATTTTAACAAAACTCTCATGTGATTTAACTGCATATTAAAGTTTAAGGAGGCTGGGTTCTGTGGCTCATGCCTGTAATCCCAGCACTTTGGGAGGCCAAGGCAGGAGGATCTCTTGGCAGGAGCCCAAGGCCAGGAGTTCAAGATTAGCCTGGGCAGCATAGTGAGACCCCATTTCTAAAAAAAAAAAAAATAATATATATATATATATATATATATATGAAATTTGAGGAGACTGCTCCAAGATGTTTCCCCTCTCTGGGGTCCCAGCCAGGGCAGGGCTTGGTCTCATTCCTGTCTTCATTCCCCAGGGCCCAGCCCAGGGCCTGGCCCCTAGCAGGTGCTCAGTGAACCTGGGTGGACTTGTTCTGAGTTCGGTTCAGACTGCTTTGGAAGTAGAGCATTTGGGGGCCAGAGCTGGATGTAGGCTGGACTGAGCACTTGGTGCCCTCTCCTACCTCCCCAGCCTGACCAATGAAGTGGTCCATACGTGTCTCACCATCAGCAGCAAGGTGGAGGAGATCATTCCACGGAAGACCCACTTCCTCATGTGGGACCTAGTGGGGCAGGAGGCTCTGCACTCCACCTGGATCACATATTACTCCAACACCGAGGTGAGGAGGGCACCAGGCTGGAGGGTCTCCAAGGCAGCTGTGTGATATCAGACAGTCACGTAACCTCTCTGAGCCTTGGTTCCTCAACTTGTGAGATAGAGATTATAATGATTGGCAGGGTGTGGTGGCTCACGCTTGTAATCCCAGCACTTTGGGAAGCTGAGGTGGGTGGATCACCTGAGTTCAGGAGTTCAAGACCAGCCTGGCCAACATGGTGAAACCCTGTCTCTACTAAAAATACAAAAATTAGCCAGGTGTGGTGGCTCATGCCTGTAATCCCAGCTACTTGGGAGGCTGAGGGAGAAGAATCGCTTGGACTTGGGAGGCAGAGGTTGCAGTGAGCCAAGATCACACCACCACACTCCAGCCTGGGCAACAGAGCGAGAATTTGTCTCAAAAAACAAAACAAAAAAAAAACAAAAAACCAAACCAAACAAAAATTAGCTGGATGTGGTGGCATGGGCCTGTAATCCTAGCTACTTGGGAGGCTGAGGTGGGAGAACTGCTTGAACCAGGGAGGCGGAAGTTGCAGTGAGCCGAGATCGCGCCACTGTGCTCCAGCCTGGGTGACAAAGTGAGACTCTGTCTCAAAAAAAATTTTTACACAAAATGTAAAAAGACAATTATAATGGAAGGAGGGTGGTGAGATCTTGACCCTGCATGGTTTCTTTTCTCTGGAGCTGGTGCAGAGACCAGTGGGGAAACACAGTGGGCAGAGACACATTTACCAAAGAGAAAGCCCGCCTCTCATGCTACCCTCTGCTGTCCAGTTCAGCATCTTTGTGATTGACAGCACGGACCGGAATTGGCTGCTGACTGCTTGGGCAGAGTTATATAAAATGCTGGCCCATAAGGTAAGCCCCGTGCAGTTGGGACCCCAATGGTAGTAGCTGTGCGCCCTCAGGCTGGTCACTTAGCCTCTCTGAGATTCATTACTGATGTCCCAGGTTTTGAGAGCTTCTACACCAGCAGCATGGGCAGGGCTGGTTTATGCCTGACGAAGGGCATCAGTGCCCTCAGTGCAATTGACTACAGAAGCCAGAGGTGCTGGTTCAAGTTTTAACCCCATCTTTCATTCATTGTGGGACTTTGGACAAGTGACTTCACCTCTCTAATCCTCAGTATCCCCAAGTATAAAATGAGCGGGATCATCAATTCCCACCTATGGGATTGTCATAAAGAGGCTTTCCATGAGCTGCTGGTGTCATTTGATGTGGTTGCTACCACTTTGGCAGGGCTCCCCATCTCTGCCCCATCTGGGCATGGGCCTCTCTTGCTGGGACAGCTGGAGAGGGAGCCAGAGAGGACCTGTGAGGCAGTAGGAAGGCTGGGCCCTAGCAGGCTGCCTGGGGCTGGGCCCCTCTGTCCACAGGCTTCTGCAGGATGCTTCTGTCCTGATCTTTGCTAACAAGCAGGACATGAAGGACTCCATGAGCCTGGTGGAGATCTCCCAGTTCCTTACTCTCAGCACCATCAAAGATCACTCGTGGCATATACAAGGCTGCTGTATATGGGGAAGGGTTAGTGGCCGCCCCACCAGGACCTCCAGGGCCTGGCTGAGCCAATGGATGACTGATCATCAGAATCCTCCTCCTGTCTCTCTCCTGTCAGAATCTGGCTCACAGTTGGCTCCTGGGCCAAGCCAATTGGGCATCTCCCCGCAGTTGAGACATTGTGGGTAAGCCATGAGCAGACAGCATACCGGCTCTCAGGGGCTTGTTCTAGTGGAGAGAGAGATAACACTCCACCTAAACGCAATACATACATACATATATATATATATATATATATACACACACACATATATATATATATTTTTTTTTTTTTTTTGACACGAAGTGTTATTCTTTTCACCCAGGCTGGAGTGCAATGGCACGGTCTCAGCTCACTGCAACCTCTACCTCCCACGTTCAAGCGATTCTCCTGCCTCAGCTTCCCAAGTAGCTGGGATTACAGGCATCTGCCACCATGTCCAGCTAATTTTTATATTTTTAGTAGAGATAGGGTTTCACCTTTTTGGCCAGGCTGGTCTTGAACTCCTGACCACAGGTAATCCACCAGCCTCAGCCTCTCAAAGTGTTGGGATTACAGGCGTGGGCTACCACGCCTGGCTGCAATAATCTTGGGTTCTGAGAAGTGATGTGAAGAATCCCACTGGATACCAGTAATAGAGGGGAGAGGGATAGGTCTGATTTAGTTCTGGTAGTTAGGGCTGGCCTCTCCTAAGAGGTGACTTTTTTTTTTTTTTTTTTGAGACGGAGTTTCGCTCTTGTTACTGAGGCTGGAGTGCAATGGCGCGATCTCGGCTCACCGCAACCTCCGCCTCCTGGGTTCAGTCAATTCTCCTGCCTCAGCCTTCTGAGTAGCTGGGATTACAGGCACGCACCACCATGCCCAGCTGATTTTTTTTTGTATTTTTAGTAGAGACAGGGTTTCACCATGTTGACCAGGATGGTCTCGATCTCTTGACCTCGTGATCCACCTGCCTCGGCCTCCCAAAGTGCTGGGATTACAGGCATGAGCTACCGCGCCCGGCCTAGAGGTGACTTTTGAGCTGAGACCTGAATGAAGAGATGGAGACAGCCATGGGGAGACAGCCCTGGGGAAACCTGGGGGACAAGCCTTCCAGGCAGAAATCATTGACTTGCTCTGACCTTCAACTTCTTATCTGTAAGGAGGAGGATCATCATACCTCCCAGAGTTTCTGTAGAGTAAATGACACAATTCAGTCCACAAATCTTTCTGGAGGTGCTCTCCTTTGTGCCAGGTACTGTTCTAGGCACTGGAGAAACAGCAGTGAGCAGAACAGACAAAAACCAGTAGTGGAGGCAGATGATAAACAAGAAAAATATATAATCAGTTAGAAAATGACGGCCAGGCATGGCAGCTCATACCTGTAATCCCAGCACTTTGGGAAGTGGAGGTGGGTGGATGACCTGAGGTTGGGAGTTTGAGACCAGCCTGACCAACAGGGAGAATCTCCATCTCTACTAAAAATACAAAAATTAGCTGGGCATGGTGGTGCATGCTTGTAATCCCAGCTACTTGGGAGGCTGAGGCAGGAGAATTGCTTGAACTCTGGAGGTGGAGGTTGCGGTGAGCCGAGATTGCACCATTGCACTCCAGCCTGGGCAACAAGAATGAAACTCTGTCTCAAAAAGAAAAGAAAAAAGAAAATGATAAATGGCTTGAGCCCAGGAGTTTGAGAACAGCCTGGACAACAGAGCGAGACTCTGTCTTTACAACAAACAAACAAACAAAAAAACCAAGAAGCCGGGTGTGGTGGGACATACCTGTAGTCCCAGCTACTCAGGAGGTTGAGGCAGGAGAATCACTTAGCCCAGGAGTTCCAGGCTGCAGTGAGCTCCAGTCATGTTGCTGCAGTCCGGTCTGGGTGACAGAGCAAGATCCTGTCTTGATAAATGGGAAGAGGAATAAAGAGTAAGAAACAGAAATTGGGCTGGCACGGTAGTTCATGCCTGTAATTCTAGCGACTGGAGAGTCTGAGGCAGGAGGATAGCTTGAGGCCAGGAGTTGGAATCCAGCCTGGGCAACGTATCCAGACCCCATTTCCAAAAGCAAAGACAAAGAAAAGGCAGATTGGAAGTGTGTGGAGGGAATGCTGCAATTGTAGGTAAGTTATCTGACAAGGGGCACTGAGCAGCTAGCTACTGAGTAATCACCTGAGGGTTTGATGGAGCTGGGCCATGCAGAAAGGGCCTTACATCAGGCCTGGAAAATTCCCTTTCCTCTTAACGTGTCAAGTAGAATCATGGCAGGCTGGGCACCCAGCTACCTCTTTTTTTGAGGCAGGGTCTCACTCTGATGCCCCCAGGCTGGAGTACAGTTGTGCAAACATGGCTCACTGCAGCTTCAACCTCCTGGGCTCAAGTGATCCTCCGACCTCAGCCTCCCTAATAGCTAGGACTACGGGTGCACACCACTATGCCCAGCTAATATTTGCACTTTTTGTAGAGACAAGGTTTGCCATGTTGCCCATGGCTGGTCTCAAACTCCTAGGCTCAAGCGATTCTCCTGCCTCGGCCTCCCAAAGTGTTGGGCTTACAGGAATGAGGTACTGCACCTTGCCCAGTCATCTTTTTGAAGAAGGGGAGACACGTTTCTAGCAGTATCCTTGCCATCCCTTGGGTCAGGAGAACCCTCTCCCACAACCCACAGTCAGTTCAATTAAATCGGCATTTTCTTTCTTTTTTTTTTTTGAGACAGAATTTTGCTCTTGTTGTCCAAGCTGGAGTTCAATGATGCGATCTTGGCTCACGGCAACTTCTACCTCCTGGGTTCAAGCAATTCTCCTGCTTCAGCCTCCCAAGTAGCTGGGATTACAGGCATGTGCCACCATGTCTAGCCAATTTTTGTATTTTTAGTAGAGATGGGGTCTCACCATGTTGGTCAGGCTGGTCTCAAACCCCCGACCTCGGGTGATCTGCTCGCCTTGACCTTCCAAAGTGCTGGCATTGCAGGCATGAACCCCTACTCCCAGCCCATGTCTGCTTTTTCACCACTAACTCCAGAGCCTCGCACAGTACCTGATGCAAAGCAGGTACTCAAGTTAATTTGTCTCTGTTAATTGAATGACTGGATGTAACTTAGGTTCCTGCATCCAGTCCGCTCTGGGTGCTGGGGACTTTAAGACTGTCATTCTCTTGGGATATGCTGATTCTTCCTGTTCTTCCCTCCCTTCAGGCTGCAGGCCAGGCTCCAATGGATCTCAGGCCATGGCTAACTGATGTCCCAGCCTGAAGCCAACCAGAAACTTTGGGGTTTTGCATGGCCCATATGGGTGGAAAACCAAGTGGTTATTTATTACTTTTCTATGGTTCTCTGGTGGGAGCAGCGGCTGCTATGGACAGTGAGATTGACACCATCCTCCCAACTCGTTGCTGAGAAGCTGAACTGCATACCCTGGATTCCTGCAGATAGCACAGCAGAATAAGCTGCCCCTCACGCCATGGCCTCAGGCATCCTTTTTGGAGACATCAGGGAAATGCCATTGCAGAATTAGTAAGTGGAACCCTCTCCTCTCCTCAGCCCTCAGCGTCTCTATAGGAAAAATATGTGTGTGTTAGGAGGCAGATTAAGAGACCCCTGAGGCCGGGTGCAATGGCTCATGCCTGTAATCCCAGCACTTTGGGAGGCTGAGGTAGGTGGATCACTTGAGGTAAGGAGTTCGAGACCAGCCTGGCCAACATAGTGAAACCCCGTCTCTACTAAAAATACCAAAAATTAGCGGGGCATGGTGGCACATGCCTGTAGTCCCAGCTATTTGGGAGGCTGAGGTAGGAGAATCACTTGAATCTGGAGGCAGAGGCTGCTGTGAGCAGAGATTGCACCACTGCACTTCAGCCTGGGCAATGAGAGTGAAACTCTGTCTCAGAAAAAAAAAAGAGACCCATGGAATTGCTCTTCATTTCCTCAAACACACCCGCACCATCAGGCTTTTTGGCCCCTCAGCCATTTTTTGTCCCATTCCCTTTGGGCAAAGGAGATTCCAGAGGGTGAAGGAGGTGGGCTTGAGAAGAGGAGGGCAGAGGCAAAAACTGGAAGGGGAAACAGAGGAGGACAGGACGTCCCAGAGAGGGACAGCCCTTTGCACTGCAGGGATTCCACTCTCGTCTTCCCATTCCCTTGGGGGTGCTGGCTTTGGTCACAGCTCTTGGACTTTCAGCCACTCCATAGCATCCCCCTCACTTCTAGTGTCCTTCCAATGTGAATCCCACTTCTTCCAAATATGCCGGATTCCTACAGGGGCTGCTTATTTTGTTTCTTTGTGTAATGATTTATAAAAATTGTATTAGGATTTTTATAAAGCTGTAATACATGCTATTTTCTCAAGACACAAAAAAGAAAAAAAAAGTTGTAATAAATGCTACTGAAAACTGCTCACCTCTTAGTTCTGCCTTCTCCTCCGCCTGTTCCTCAAACCGGCTTTTGGTCTGATGAGAAGGGGAGGAGTTATCCTGGGGTTGGAAAAGCCCAGGAGACAAGATGGAGATGCGGTCTCTTCATCTGTACATTACTAGATCTGGGACGGTCCTGGGAACAGTCCTTTTCCCAAGCCAGTCAGTGGACATCTGGGGAGTGTCTGGGCATAGATGTAGAGGACCCAGGATTCCTTAATCTAGTGGTTTTTTCCTAAAGAGTGCCTGTGGAGGAAGAACTCGGGAGTTCTAGCCATTCCCACTGTATTTTGTGCTTTAAAAAAAATCGGTATCTTGACGCAACCTTCAGATTAAAACTTTAAGGGAAAGTGGGCTGGGCACGGTGGCTCATGTCTGTAATCCCAGCACTTTGGGAGGCCGAGGTGGGTGGATCACTTGAGGCCAGGAGTTCGAGACCAGCCTGGCCAACATGGAGAAACTCCGTCTCTACTAAAGCACAAAAAATTACCTGGGCATAGCAGCTGGTGCCTTTAATCCCATCTACTCAGGGGCTGAGGCAGGAATATTGCTTGAACCTGGGAGGCGGCGGTTGCGGTGAGCCGAGATCGCGCCACTGCACTCCAGTCTGGGCAACAAGAGCAAAACTCTGTCTCTAAAAATAAAAATGAAAATAGCAAAAGGGAGGCTGAATACCACACCCCTATCCCACAGAAACTTACGTTAACAGTATGGCGTGATGGGGGGATAGCTCGGTGTTTTTTGACTGCAGATCAAGAGGTCCCCAGTTCAAATTCGGGTGCCCCCTCTGCTCTTTGGAGTTCTCGCGTTTTGTTAGTCTCCGGAGGTCCCCTAAAGAGTTCCCGCACAGATGGAAAGAGAGGGAGTCGCAGGCCCTGCCACCCTCTTTTCCTTTGCAGGCGAGTGAAAATGGAGTCCTGGCCCGTACCAGTGGCTCAGCCTGTGTGTATATCCAAGGGTGGAATGCAGTGCAGTGAGAGCGAGGAGCTCGGGGCTGACCCTTGGAACACGGTGCGGGTGGCCCAACCTTGCAATGGCCGGGCGGAGGCGGCGCACCCCCAGGTCGGCCTGGCCAGTGGCCGCGACGGCTCTTCCATCGCTGGAGGGAGGCCGAGTTTCTAAGGGCTGGGCTGGGAAGACAGGCCCGGAGAAGCCGCGTGAGCACGTGGGAGGGAGAAAGAAGCTCCGAGACGTGGCAAGGGGGCTCCTGCAGGGCAGGAGAGTGGGACGCCCCGAAGTGAGAGATTTCGAGACTCCTTCCACACCCCAGGAATACATTTTCTTGCACCGTCAGTGGGAATCTTCAGCTCAGAGCTTTAGGAAACAATCCCTGATTCCAAGTAAGTGAATTTTCTGGGAGTTGTATTTTTTCCACCTCTCGTAAACGTCCCACCCAACTTTCCACTTCCCTTCGGGAGCAGCATACCACGCCTGCGCAGCGGTAACACTAAGGGACTGCCTGCGTTACGTTGCCGATAGAGGGGGTATAGCTCAGTGGTAGAGCATTTGACTGCAGATCAAGAGGTCCCCGGTTCAAATCCGGGTGCCCCCTTTACTAGGTTTTTTTTTTTTTTTTTTTTTTTTCAAGATCCTAAATTTTTTGTCTCGGGTGTCGATTTTTCCTAAACTGTTTGCTTTTCCTCCTAGTGGCAGATGAGCAGCGAGGGACTGCAAGGAACTGGGGATTCAACAGCAATAGCTCTCAAAATGTGGCCCTGGGACCAGCAGCATCACCTGGGTACGCTCGGTCCTCATCCCCGACCTAGGGAATTAGAAACTTGAGGGTGGAGTCCAGAAATCTGTTTTCATATACCCTTCCTATCGCTTGAGTCCAGGAGTTGGAAGCTGCAGTGAGCTATGATCGCGTCACTGCACTCCAGCCTAGGCAACGTTCGAGAACCTGTCTCAAAAAACAAACAAAATCACACACACACACACACACACACCCCTCCAGGTGATTACGATCTCAAGTTCTAGAGGCTTACATTAAAATTCACACGTTTGCTTCTACTATTTCCAAGTTTTTGTTTCACCCTGAGCTCTTCCTGTAAGATACTTTATAAAACAGACCACTAGTTACCCCAGATAGAGGAATGTGTAAAGACACCGGGGTCGGAGCTGGAATCTTTCCTGGGACCTTTCACCTTGACCTCGGGGAAGGCAGGAGGTCGGGGCAACGCGTGGGCAGGCCCGGGAAAGAGGAAACCCGCAGGACGAGGGGGTTGTGGCTCATCATGTGGCCACTTGAGGGCAGCAAGGAGCCGCAGCTGGAGGCGGCTGCCTATCTGATGCTGCTTGAGAGTCCGCCAAATTGGGATTTAAATTAGACGTCAAGACGAACTTACAGACCGGCCTTGCCTTGTTCTATGGTAAGGGGATTTTGCGTTTAGGGCTGGAGGAGGTCGTCCCTGGGACTCTGGGTTCGGCGGAAGGAGGAACCGGCGTTCTACGAGATTAGAGAGCCTTTGTTTCCTTTCTGAGGTCTTTTTTTTGACCTCAGTGCCACGGAATCCGCCTCTTCCAGCCCCACAGATCCCTTGTGTCCCCAGCCATATCCATCCTCCTGGGGAATGTCTCCAACGGCGCTCAGCGTTCGCGCCTCCTTCTCCGCGGTTTTCTAGTCCCTAGGCCCCAGCCCACTAGAAGCCAGGGTGCCCCCTCACCCCGTCTCTCACTCCATCCAGCGCCCCAGCTCCTTGCAGTCACAAGAACGAATTAGGTCAGGGGAGGGAAGAGGTGCCTCCGTGTCCTGACCTGATTCCTTGCCGTCTATTAAATTTACATTGCGGGTATTTTTATTCTGTCCTGGAAGGAAAAAAAAAAAAAAAGATCTATCCCCAGAGCCCGTTAGAAGGTGGCAGCAATTGGGGTGAGCCGTTTCCCGGCCTGGGGCTTGCTCTGAAAATTGATTGGGTCTGGCCCTGAGCAAGCCTGGCCCCAGAGAGGCGGGCGGCCTGGGCTACCGACTCGTGGGGAGGGGTCCAGGCTGCTGCAGAGTAGCAGTTAGCCAGGGCCCCTGCACCCTCATGTCTGCTAGGCTGGGGGACAAAACGGTGCTGGAAATGGGGGGTAGAGGGATGAGGTGGAGTCATGGGAGGGGGATGGGATTCGGGCCCCTCTTGGGGAGAGAAGCTGGGGGTTTTTGCTGCAGGGGGAGATTCCCGGGGGGGGGGGCTGCAGGACAAAGCATCAGAGAGGCACAGAATTCCAAAGAACAAAGTCTCAGAGCTTGAAGGCGCTGGGGGCAGGGGACAGGCAGGGGCCCGTGGCCCAGGGAGGAGGCGCCTGTCCCTTCCTGGGGTCCAGTCCCTCGGGCCTTCTCTCTGCAGCTTTCCCCGGCGGAACAGAGCAGGGAAAGGGAGCCAGGAGCTCAATACGGCGCCCAGGGCGGCTGACGCTTCTAGGGGTTCTCCCAGCCCGAGGGGCTCCCTCCCTGTCCCCTACTCTGCGCCCCTCGCCTTAGGAGCGGCTGCGGGAGCTCTCGGAGAGAGCTCTGTGAGAGCTGAGGGCAGGCGCGGGGAGAGCCCCCCACGACGCCGCGCCCCCCGCCCCGCCCCCTGCCCCAGGTCCCCTCCCCGGACCTAGCCGCCCCCCCCAGCTCCCCGCCTGCTCCCGGAGGCCGCAGCCTCCCGCTCCGCTGGCGCTCTCGCCTCTCCCGCCTGCTCGCCCGGCCCCGCGCTCCGCCGCCTCCTCGCTGCCCGCCCCTCAGCCAGCCCCGGGGACCGCGCGGCAGGACCCGGAGCCGGGGTCCCCTCCCTCATCAGGGCTGGGGTAGCGAGCAGGCCGGGGGCAGGTCCGGGCACCCACCATGCGGGGCGAGCTCTGGCTCCTGATGCTGGTGCTCAGGGAGGCTGCCCGGGCGCTGAGCCCCGAGCCCGGAGCAGGTAGGACTGGCCGGAGTCGGCCCGGGTGGGCCGGGAGTGGGGAGGGGGCGGGAAGGCAGGTGTGGGCATGGGCAGGTGTGGACGGCCTGGCGATGTCCGCGAGTGGAGTATTGTCCGCAGGAGGCCGGGAGCACTGGGGGCTGCGGGCAGGTGGATGGACAGGGACCCCACTTTCCCAAACACACAGGGGGTGTGAGTGACAGTGGAAACACCGAAGCCTGGACCTCTTCTTCCCTCCTGGAAGGATACTGGCGGGACCTTGCGGGGGTGGCGGGTGGCGTGGGGACTCAATGTGGCCATGGGCTCTGAAAGGGGAGTTGTTGGGATCCCTGATCACCCAGGCAAGGCTGGATTCTGAAGAGATGGGAGCTTCGGGAGGCCCCTGCCCCAGCCATGCCTTCTTTTCCTCTTCTCTACCACACCCCCGGAGCCCAAAGCTGACCCAGGCTAAGGGTAGGTGGGAGCAACCAGGGAGATGGTGGAGACACAGCCTCTCTCCCTGGGAAGGCAGCAGCCATTCGGTCACCTTCCCTTACCTATTTGGTGTCAGTAGAGAGGCATTGGCCCCAGGAAGAACCAAATTGCTGCTCCTGCAACCCCAGCCTCAAGGGACCCCCTCCTCACACCTGCTCCATCTGCCCTGGCAGCCTTTGGACTTCAGCTGCTCTGCTCTAGATGGGGCACTGGGGTTGGGGGTGGAGGGAGGCGTCCCATTCTGCACATCCTCTTCCCCTCACCAGTTCTCCAAACTCATCTCTCCCACCTGTAAGTCCTTTCTGAGATCTGCTTGGAATCCCTCATGTTATAACAGGAAGACTAATTTTCATAGCCTCAGTCCTCCTCTCCCCTAGGTGCCTTGACTTTCTTTGGGGTTGGGGAGATGGGTAATTTGCAGCCTAGCCCCTTGACAGAGATGATTAAGAAGATAGAGACCTGGCCGGGTGCGGTGGCTCAAGCCTGTAATCCCAGCACTTTGGGAGGCCGAGGCGGGTGGATCACGAGGTCAAGAGATCGAGACCATCCTGGTCAACATGGTGAAACCCCGTCTCTACTAAAAATACAAAAACATTAGCTGGGCATGGTGGTGCGTGCCTGTAATCCCAGCTACTCAGGAGGCTGAGGCAGGAGAATTGCCTGAACCCAGGAGGCGGAGGTTGCGGTGAGCCGAGATCGCGCCAC